CTCTTGGGAAGGCCTGACCAGCTATTTCCTCAACATCTCAGTGAGAGAGGTCTCTGTGTTGTTCATGTTTGTAGCTCAGCAGTCAGTCAGATGAATGCTTAGAGTTTGCTAAAAAAGGCTGGTACCCCATTTCAAAGTGCCAGAACCCTTGCAAACAATTTTGACTATGATACAGAACTGAACAGGGCACAGTAAGTAACAGCACATACATCAAGAAGCTGCACTCTTGGGGGAGAGAGTGAGGGGTGAAAAAGAAAAATGCTCTTTGGCATCTCTGACATCTGTCTTATTTTGCTTTTATCAAACCAGAGAGACATTCCAAGTATAAAACTTGCAACAGGATTACTTAAATATGGTAAGAACAACTGTTAAAGCTTATTTTTATTGTGCAAGTAGACCAATGCATGTAATTCCTCCTGCAGTAATTTTTCATGGGGCAGGAGTAATTGAGGACAAGTATTTAATCACCTCTCTCTTATCTTGGCTTATCTAAGTGTTAAGATAAAAGGGCAAAAATCGAACCAGGGCAGATCTCATACAAATTTCAACGCAGATTAATGTCTCAACAGAGAAACTAATAAAAATAATTGCTCACCATATTTATTCAATGCAAGTGAATTCTTGTTCTGAGTAGTCACTACTTTCCTTTTTTCTTTTCCAACAAATACTGGCCATCCTGAACCATAATGAACATGAGGCCCTGAGCATGTTGAAAGTATCAGCACACTGTGATGCAGTCAAATTCAGTAGTCCTGTTTCTCAGACAATACCACAGCTATAGAGAAAGGAAGATGACAGAAGTGCAGTCACACAAAGGCAAACTCAATGGGTGAACATTCCTGATGATGCTACCATGAGCCACTGAGGAAATGGAGGTAGAAGACACCTAAACCTTTTATTACAGTTTACTGCAAATCCATGAGGTGCTTGTGAAGATAAAACCAGTAAGACTGTGTGCATTTTTCATGGAAGAGTTTCCATCAGTTAAGATGCTAATGATGTTTGTCTGCTTGTAGCCAAAGAACAAGCAAGCTTGTTCAAAGAATTCACCAGGTTCTCAGCGACCCAGACTGCACTATAAAAATCCCCTATAATTTACAAAATCATCAGGATAGAACATGTATTCCACTAGAAACAATAGCTAGATTATCCCTTCAAATCTGACTATAGCCTTTCAAAGAAAAAAGAGTGTCTGGAATATTTTTATGGAAAACCTATTTCAAGGTTCTCAGGAGAACTGAGCTGGAAAAATCACCGTGTAATGGGATAAACTATTACAATTTCAGGGCTGCAAGTGGCCAACATGATTTCTCAGTGCACACTGCCAATGAAAGCAACCCTGTAACTCAAAGGGCAGGAGAAGAGTTAGAGGCAATAATATCCCTGTGTTCTAAAGTTAATAATTTACAACAACACTGAAATCATGCTGCTGAAAGGTGATATAATAAAGACTAGAAAATAACACATCTCCTGTTTTTCAGAAGACTGACATCATTTTTGTGTCAAAATAGAAGGAAGCCTCAGCAAGTTGCCCAAATATCCATCAGGAGATTGTGAGAAAACCTGATTTCTTTCAGTCAAACTGTGGAAGCAGGCTGTGGGAAACTTAGGACATACAGGGGGAGAAATCCTTATTCAAAGTAAAAATTATTTTAGGCTGTATTTGCATTCTTTCAGAAGCATGCAAAATGTCACTAATTACAAGTGTCAATCACAGAGCAGGCCAAGTCTCCAGCAATAGAGCAAAGGTTTCAAAATGAACAGAGCAGGAATTCAGTTGCATTGTTACTCCCTGGAGATTATAGCAATGCTGTAAGCAAACTAGAGTTATTCTCAATTCAACAGCATGTATCAGAAGCCATTTAAAACTAGATCTTGTCACAAAAATGGAAATTCCATATTAAATATCTCAGTAAATTTAAAGTGATTTTTAGTGAACAAGAACCTGCAGCATGAAACATCAAAACTTCAGCAGCTTGCCCCAGTAAATCAGTGTTTTCCTAGAAGGAGACATGCAGGACAGGCTCACAGGGAAGGCTCTGCAGCTGTGGAGCAGTGGGGTGGCTGGGACAGAGGGCAGTGAGGCCATGCTGGGCTACCCATGGTGCAGGCAAAGTGAGCTGGACAGAATCCCTATTTCACAACAAAAAATTTAAAAACTGCAAGTGAGAGGGTCTGGCAGCATCATCACCCAAGGGTTCAGTATGGCCAATGCTCCCCTTCCCAAACTCAGTGTGACCCTGGCAGCAGCAGCACAGGCTGCCCTGCAGTGCCTTGCCAAAGGCCAGCTCAGTCCAGCCTGGGAGGCTGCTTTGCTGCTGGCCACCCCCACCCAGCCTGCCTGCAAACACTTCCCTCTTAGGGGTTATCCTTTATGTCCCAGAAATTTCAAGCTCAGTGGGAACAAGATGGGCTCCTGCAGCTTCAGAGCAAGCTGGTCCAGCTGACCTCAGGCATCAGTTTGGGAAAGCAAAGGAAGGGGAAGCCTTGCTCTGCTGGCAGCAGAAAAGCCAGAGATCAGTGAAAGCTTTTCAGGGAACTTCACTCTTGGTGTGCAAAGGTCTGGCATCTTGCTGACATCTGCTGGGATTTTACATCTTCACTTACCTATGTCAGGCAATAATTTGCATTGCTTGGAAATTTCCAGCTTCGCACATGGCCTCAAAATGAGATCTGCTGTTCTCAAAATGTTGTTTGTGCCACACTTCCAATGTCTGTAGAGAGCTGGTCTCACAGCACTGGCTCTTCTTTATCAGCTAAGTTGCATTAGACAGAATCTAAAAATACATTAAATACTTTCTAATATTACTTTTTGACATAAGCAGTTACTATAGCTGCAACAAGGATGTTGCAAGAAAATGCATGAGGGTTGCATAACTCCTTTTATTCAGCAGGGATATGTGAAAGGTCAAAAAGGCCTTGGAATAAGGTTTTTTGTTTCTATGTTTGCCTTAGCATTCATACTTACACAAAAATATCACAAACAACTTCAAGAACTCAAATGAGCAGTTGATCTCCTTTTACTTCAAAGAAGAAACTAATTTAGCTTACCTACAAAAACCTACCTGCAATGCAAAATTCAAGGAGATGCTGTCTAATGTGTGAGAATCTGACAACAGTTGACAAAAAAGCAGCATCTGAGCAAGTTGGGGGTCTGTTGCTTAGTGAGGGGGAATTCAACAGCTCAGAGAACCCACCAAATACTTTGTGTTTATCACACAGAAGTAGCTTTTATATCAATTGCACAGAGATGTAGCTCTCTCCTCTCAAGAAACATCCAGTTTGGTATTCATTAATTTACAAAGCACATAGATGAGGCAGAGCAGTACTCCTGAAATAAAGGCAAACCAAGGCCCTGGAAGATGTACAAGTCTGTTTTTTCTTGTCCTGTAACAGTGGTGGATGTGAAATGAAAGCCCCAATAACCCTGCTCTAGATACCAACCCAAGCTTCCACCCAAACATACCAAGACTATCAATTTTAGAAAGAATGTCTTCTCTTGTTCCCCAAATCCTTGACTGATACTGCAGCCCTCACATTTCTGGATAAATCCATTAAGTTCTTAAATGTCTGCAAACTGGTCTTTAAAAGGGAGGGATTAAAAAAAAATTAATGGGAAAGCAGTTAAAGGCAAATAACCATTCCCTGCACTTGTGCTGTCACTCCTGTGAAGCTGCTATGGCTGCTGTTCTGATAAGCTTTTCTTCTGCACCACTTCATTTGCTCAAGTACAAAACAGGGATCATTTCATTAGTGAAATTTGGATCCCCAGAATAAAGACTACTCACTTTGTTGAACAAACTAGTATTGCCCTCAGTGCTAGTGGAAGAATTCACTCACTCACCTTCAGCTAAGGGGCACTTTGCTCAGCCCTCTGTGAATCCCTACTGCCCAGAGCTGCATGGGTGCTGATTTCAAGGAACCTCAGGAGGATCCCTCCTAGACCTTCCTCAGTGGAGTATCTCATATATAGTACAGCCTCACTGTGCTTTTATGGCTCCCTCAGTTCCTTCCTGCTAACAAATACACTGGTCAATCAAACTACTGCTCACTAATTAAATCAGCTGTAGGACCTCCAGAGCTCATTTTGTACACACCAAATCCAAAACATTATTTGTGAAGATCCTGGCAGAAGGGAGCTCATAGCAGCTCCTAGTTCCCACGGAAAGTTGACAAATATGAGCAAGTTATCAACATATTTCCACAGCAGTTCTAAATTCATCCTTATCATTCCTGTGCACTCTTTAACTATTGCTCTATAACAAAAGCTAAAAATAAAAAATCCAAGGTCTGTATTGTCCCTTTTATATTAACTCTTTCCAGCTACAAAAATTCCCAGCTGTAAATTCACTTTGATTTCCAGCTCTGCATGGGAAATCCATGCACCCAGCCCCACAGTCTGAGCTGTAACCCTGGCATCCATCACACACAAGCATTTCTCTTTCACAGAGAAAATCATGAAATTGCAGGTTTTTACAGACTTCTCTCCTGCCTCAAAGAAGCCAGCCAGACCCAAATCTCCCAGCCATAAACTAGGGAACTACACAAATACACCAGCAGCCAGGGCAGGAAGGTCAATGTTTGCTGTCTCACACATTTGCCCATTCTTTGATTTTCACTGCTTGAGCTTGGACTCCCTCACATAGAATCCAGGAGATATTTTGATTTGCTTTCTGCTCCATCTCCCTACTTTCCAGTCACTGCTAAGTTATTTAACATGTCAGTGGCATTAGCAGTATCTTTAATACATCAGCAGAGTTAAGTAGTGAGCAAGTAAGCACAAGGGCTTCAGAAGGATGGTGGTTACCATGCTTCAAGCCAAGCAAAGAACTTAGTGTCCACCTTTACCTTTATGAGGGGAGTTTTTATTTACCAACACTCCCCAAAACTATTTTTAGTAACCTTGCATTTCCATCAGCATGTACAAACACTGTTTGTGTTACACCATGAATAAATACAGAAGAAAAAGAGCTTTTCCCACAACAGCCTTTATGGGCTACTTTTAATTAAAATCAGTTTAATGATTGATAAGCTCTAGTATTTCCAGCAGCAAATCATAAGTGGTTGACTGTTTCCAGAGACAGTGAAAAAAACTGAAGATAATATAACTACATAAGCTAGCATAGTTAGTTGGTTTACTGGTTGTCAATACAGGAAAAATTTGAGTGTTTAACACGTAAATTCAAGAGCAAAAACTAAATCAGTATTTTGTAGGAATCAGAAAGTTCAGCTATATAAACTGAGGGAATCATTGTTTCCAAGGCTTACTTTTAGTCTCTCCCAAAATTCCTTTTGACATATTCCCTACATCAGAATGAACAAGCAGGAATTTTCAGTATCTGATTAGTATTTAGGAAGGGGATGTCCCACGCATCAATTCTGTACAGTTGCTACCAGGAAAGGTTCTTCACTGTGCCTCTTAAGCAAATGGAGGAACACTGCAATCCCTGTGGCCTCATGTCCTTCCTCTGCTCCCTGGGCTCCCAGAGGCAGCAGAATGCAATTCCATGTGCCTGAGCACACATTTGTGGAGACATCTCCTCCTTATAAACAGAACAAATCATCTGCAGCTGATCAGCCACACAACAAATGAAAGTTTCTTTCCACAGCACACAGAAAATAGGAGTGAGTATAGGGAGTGTGAAATCCTAGAGCTCTACCAGGACCCTCCCTAGCCCCACGACTTCCTTGGTCACTGTCACCAAGAATGCAGGGCTGCAGGTCTCAAACAGCTGCTGCATCCACCTGCTTTCCTCAGCCAGTGCTGGTGGGAGGAGCACACAACACACAGGAGGGAGCATTTCCTCTTTTGTACTGTTATTTTATTTTGTAGTAAGATCCACGTAGTATATAAAATATAACAGGAAAAACTGAACGAAGCCTAGAAAATGAACCGAGGAGCTCAGCTGCCAAACCACCACAGCTCTACTTCCCTGGGTTCATGAAGTCTCCAGAACTCATGGACTGTTTGCTTGTGCTATTACAGTTCTCTAGCATATGAGCCTACACCAAAAGCTGATATGTTCCAATTAAGCCATAGTTAAGTGACAGATGTAGAGGAAAAAAAAAACCAAAGTGGCTTTTGTAAGCCACAGCTGCCCTTGACAGAGGTTACAATGATGTCTAACTATACTGTAATGCACATTACATCAAGAACCTTGAAAGAGCCTCTGAGAAAACGGCTTCACATTAAGCATTTTAAAGAAAGGTCATAAATACTGCACTGTACCAACAGTACCTCCCAATGTCCTCCTTATGCCTGAGGAGCATTTGTGTTTTGTAAGAAGCTACTACATAGATGACACCAAACCTAGAGGTAGGTTATAGGCCAAGGTAAGTTACAGGCAAAAAAAAAAAGAAAAAAAGAAAAAAATCCCTTTAGAGCTAGTCACTGCACAGACTGCCCAGCAGGAAGCAAGGCAAAGTGTCAACAACTCTTTCCTCCCGCCCTAAACATTGTTCACACAGTGCATTTAGTTCCTAGTGCCCTAAGAATGAGAGTGGATCATCAGCTGCTAGTAAATGCAGTCATGCCAAGAGAACAGCTTGAAGTTATTCAAGCAAAAACCTGTTACTGTGCAAAACTGGTGCACTGGACTGTTCCCAACCAGACCTCCAAGCTTAGGAAGTGACCCGACAGTAGAGAACCAAGGTGTTTTTCTTTTGACTGGGAAATACTTTAGTAACCAACAGGAGAACATACTGCTGAGTCTACATGGAAGGAGTCAAATATCAGCTTGTATCAAAACTTTAAAGAAAAAAAAAATTGAAAAAGGTTTAAAAAAAGCACACTTTGATGAGACCAAGTTTTTAAAAAGTTCCTGTACCAAACAAGCCGCTAGAACAGCTCATCTCCCCTAAATCCTAGGATCAACACAAGGTTGATAACAAATATATGTACATTGAGAAACACACCTGCAAGTACAATAGTTACAGCAAATTAACCCCAAGTTTTAATGGTGTATGTAATGCCTTCAGGTCACAAAATGTGGACAAAACGTTAATCTTAACTCCCTCTGTGCACTATTGGTGATAATCAAAGTAATGATGCTGAAGATTCATTTTATTTCTACTTCCAAAGGAAAAGGGTAAATGGTTAAATATGTGTTCTCCAATTTGTTCTCCACTATACGTACACCCACACACATACACACACCCCTCAAACTGCACTGACATTTCTTTTTGACCAAAAGAGTAGATCCTGGGAGTAAGTGCAAAATGCAAAATCAACTGACAGAAAATGCTGAACAAACAGCATCATAAAAATACAAAATATTTATATTACTGAACTATTAACAGATGATGTTCTCTGTTTCTTTAAAACTTTGGAACCACATAGCTGATTTCTTAAATCTAGTCCATGCCAGCTTCCAGAACTATTAATGTTTTAGTTAGCTTCATTCTTTGATGCTTCATCAAAATTTTCTACGAGATCTGAAAAAGATGAAGATATTTAATACAGTAATGCCCAGTAAGATTACCTTTGTAAGTTTAATGAAAATGCATATAATTACAGGAAAGGTTAAGTAATACTTAATTACACTTAGGGAAACCATTTCTTTATGGGCAGATTTCAAAGGGCTTTAGAAAATATTGTTTGTTTAAACATACACAAAGAACTAGAAATGCAGAAACACTCCAACAGTGAAAATTCTAACATTAAGTGATTAAGAGCTGATCTTCAATGGTGCCCTACTAGCTGCAGTTGAGTTTTGAGCATCAGCATTCTTTAAAGAATGCCTGCCATTTTAGAGAATTGAATTTTATGCAAGGTCACAAAGAAATAAACCAGTGCCAAGGCAGGAGGATTTCAATCTCTGGTCCAAGCATATGTTGTTTTAGCTAACACACCATCCCAAAGGACACAGTGGAATGTGGTTATTGATAAAATAGTTATTCACTACAAATAAAGAACTTGTCATATTTACTTCCAGACACACTGACATCAGTCCTTTTTCTTCTGCTATAGAAATAAAAACTCCCACTCCAGACCCTGATACAAAAACAACCTGGTAACTATGCCAATTATGTCATTTTGCAGTCCTAAAACCCTGTTTGGATATTCAGATACCTATTCAGTCTCACTGAAACTACTTTAACCTAGTTTCAGTCAATAATTAAGGTAGTTGCACAAGGTAATCTCTTTTTCAAAAGCTGAAATCCAAGTCATATTTTAATGCTGTCCTATATAAGAAACCTCCTTCAGCAAGTGAGGAGTATGATCACATCAAAAGCTACACATTTAAATGAATGAATCAAAATATTTATATCTTAAGTGGACATAAAACTGTCTATGTGCCTACCTGGGACATCATCATCTTCTTCATCAATATCTTCAGATTTTGGTGCTTTACTATCCAACACTATAAAAAGAAATTTGGTGCTGAGTTCTCATAATACAGAATCAGTGACACTGACACAACAAAATAAAAACCATACATGTGAAAAAAGCAAGCACTTCCTCAATCTCCAGTAGTGACAAACACACAAATGACCAGCTGCTGAGAGTTACCAGCATGACCAAAAGGTTTCATTGGGGACATTCTGACAGCAAAGCATTAGCAGAGCCATCTTCAGATGCTATGGGGTATTCATCAAGAGTTTGGAAAAGATCAAATGATACAGAAACCCCAGCATGACTCAATCTTCTCAGTGAAGTCTTGTGCTTCAATGCAACAACAATATGGCACCAACCAGTGACCAACACATAATTTGATTCAAATATGCTTATGATGATCCATCTCTCTAAATTTTAGAAGATATTTTACGCATTACTAAAGAAAAACAAGCCCTTTACTTCCACTTAAACTCTGAACATGAATGCTGGAGTAATTAAAACTGATTTCAAAGTAATAGCTCTGTGTGGTGAAAACATTACAACAGGTGATGTATATTCCATTCCAAACAGAGACAACTGCAACACAGTCCAACTACAGTCATCTTAATGGCCATAACAGCCTAACTGGAACTGTACCTGATCTTTATTTTTAATTGTAAAATTACAGTAATAGTTATACCATTCCACCCATGTTCCCAAGGTTTTAAAATTAATAGAAAATAAAGAATCATATGCATAACTGTGATTTAGGTTTTTTTTTTTGTTTTCCATTAAAACTTTGATTTTTAACTAGCTTTTTTTTAAGCCTTGCTTGGATTCCAAAGAGAACTGTAGAGCAAAAGAACATATTGCTTCTTCTACAATTGCAATAGAAATATGTTTTGTATGAACAAAGAAAACAGAACAGATTCCCTGACAAAAAGAACTGGTTGAGTTTTTCCAAGTAAAAACTTGCTTTTCCCTAAGCATTCTGCCATACACAGCAGTATACCTGCTATCACAGCATGCCAGACTTACCCATTTCTTTTAAATCAGGGCCTGCCTATATAATCTTGAATCAACAAAGATAAAAAGAAAGTCTTCCCCCACCCTCTACTTCCACAGCAGTGTCAAATAAATAACAGCACACACACATTTCTGACTTTGTAAGTTGTTGTTAAATTTGGGTTAAAACTTTCAGTAGTTCATATATCCTTTAAGTCAGCTGTGGAAGATTCCAAAAAGACCTACCTTGTCTTGGAAATTGTTCAGCTAACTTCCTGAGACTTGTTAAGCTGTCAGCACCAAGCTGGCTTAAGATGCCTGGAAGCATTTCTGTGATCGGTTTAGCCTCTGCATGACCAGTAATTGCAAAAGTGTTGGCAGAGAGGGAAGCTTGAACCTTGGGGTTGTTGAAGTGAATAACTGTTCCATCATCTTTTATCATGTTCACCTGTTTAAACAGATTAATAACATTCACCTAAGTGTTGTAGCATCTTGTTACACAAGCACAATAACTAAAATCTAGATTTGAAATATCAAAATTTCAGAACTAGCGCTCCTCCTCTAAAGGATAATACAACCATGATAAAAGCACCTGGAGTTAACACCACCTAAACTCAAAGCTCCAACCTTGCCACAACAGGCTAAGCCATTGCCTTTCACAGGTGCCTGTGTCACCTACCAGGAAAATGTTCCTGCTTCTTCCCAGCTGGCACAGGACTCCCACTGGCTCAGGGCAGGGATGCACACCCAGCTCTGGGGGATCAGAGACCAACTGCACTGGAACACACTTCCAGCGCCTTCCCAAGCATTCCACAAGGGCTCTCAAGACTGAGGACACCACCCAGTGATCCTGCTCTCCTTCCCTGGCCTTCTGAATCCCCAAGAATTCAATCTTACAGCCAGTGTAGTGGCCTGCTTTAGAAAGCTGAAAAGCTTTTTCTTCTAGGGATGGATAAACTATTGTGCAAAATATAATTGTCTGACCATAGGAAGAGAGTTCTACCTGTCCAACACAACAGTGGTATTAAACTTACATGAAAATATTAAGCAATGTTTTTAAGTTACAGGGAGTAAACAGGGATTCAGAACTAAAGATGAGATCTAAAGTACCGAAACATGTAAGTTCTCAATCCTCACACAGCAGCAGAGTTCCAAGTATGTTTTGAACAGGAAATCCAGGTGTGTTGCTTTCCTGCAGAACTAAGCAATATCCTGTCCTTTGCCCATGGGGAAATGGTAAAGGCTTCAAGCACAGTTATCCTGTTACTTAAGAGCCTCTTTCAAAATGACACAAATGTGTTACTCATGCTTGACTCAACATGACTCTTCTAGCTGCACGAAGCTTACCAAGGTCAACCTGCGTTCACTTGAATAAAACATTCCACAATTATGTCTCTTGCTATCAAGGTAGAAACATTTTGCATCATCTTCCTACACTGAGATATTTAAATTCCTTAAGAACTGTGTCTGAATAAAGATCCTGTGCTTTGCGCACAATAAAAACCCCTGAACATACACTAAGAACTGTGCCTTTCTTTATTTCATATAGCTCTGCATATTTGTATTAAGCTTAAAAAACAGACAAACTGAACTGTTTCTGTACCAGAGGTTTGAAAACTTACAGGCAAACCTCACTGAATCTGCATTTGCCTTTGGAAGGGAGGAATGCACTTAGAGACTTCTGCATGCACCTTGCAATCCTGCTTCAATTCATTAATCACAGATTAAATACTGCATTCTTTAAGCAAGGAGTGCAAGTACTACAGCTCCACTGAGCTCATGATGGAGAAACCTCCTCCTCTTCCCAGGAATGAGGGTCACTCCCTACACTGTTATGGAAAACATGTTTTATTAATACATGTAAATTAGAGGGATTCAAGGAACATCTGAAACCTTCACATTCCCTCTTACATTAACACAGAAGCTGCTTCTGTACAGTCTCTGCAGTGCTTCAAAAAACATTTCCTGGAACTACTGCAAACAATTCCAGCAAATTTTGTGCAGTAAAAGGTCCTAATTTTGATAATACAGACTCAAGCTCTTACTCAAGGAGTTTCTAAACCTTCCTTCATACTCTGCACCACACTTGCTCCAGATGTGCCTGCACAGTCCATGTACATTTACTGCTCTTCCCTTTAGAGCAAGTTCACAGAAGTCAAGAACAAAGAGAAGTTTTGTTCTGCAATGAATGCTGACACACAGAGCTTACTACCTCCACCACACACTGCCTGGCCAGCAGAACCTCCACCTTTCCTTCTCCAGGCACATACACATTTATGCCAATGAGGCAATGATACATCATACAATATTACCTCTCAATAACCAGATCTCTATGGTCTTGCTTGGAAGAGAAAACTGTTGTCAAAACCAAAAGCAAAGCCACCCCACCACCACCAAAACAACAGAGTGAATTTAATTTCAAACAGGAAATACTTAGGTTTTCACTCTACCTCTTCAATGCCAGCAATGTTATTTACAGCCAGTTTTTTGAGGGAACTCTGAAGTTTTTTGTCATCAGCTGTAGCTGTTCTGTGCACCACCTTCTTCTTTCTGCGAGCTGTTCCCTGGGAAGAATCAAGAGACAACAGTCAGCTCTGCTCAAAACCTCACAACAGTAATTGCAAAAGTCAGGGCACAGTCTGAGCAACATCTTTTAAGTTATGAGACCGTTCTGTAGACAAAAACGCTTCTCAACTTATTTCTTTTACCTACAGCTTTGGCCATCGCTCCCAATTATAAGTTTTTTCTTAAGCATAAAGACCAAAGAAATAGCAAACAGCAGCATATTTTCCCTTCCACTAACCTAGACTACAAAAGTACTACTTAATATTAAGCAACACATAACGATGTTTCCCCAAGATATTTTTTCCAAAACAAAGCACAAATACAGTGATTTAAACAGCCTCACTTTGGCAACCAAGTCATTAATGCTTTCAGAGTGTTCCACAGAGAGCAATTCTGGAATTCCCGCTTTGCAAACTTTTGTACAATCATCCCTATGATAGGGGATGAGCACCCACAGTGAACAAACTCCATGCCTTTTTATTGGTCACATTAATTACCCACTAGCTCAGAGAAAAGAAACAGCCAGTGCACAGTGCACAGCCAGTGCCTGGAGCAGGCACAAAGAAGACAATCCCCAGCAGGAAGACCATAAAGGCAGAACTGGAACACCCAACAGGTGAGATTTGCTGGAGCTTTCACAGGTCACAACAAGTCACTGAATTAAAACAATGCTTGCACACTGGAAACTGCTCATCCAGCCACTGTGAACTGAAAGAAACTTGCATTTCAGGTAGCTGCACTACAGGCCAGATCACACAAAACCTGTATTAGTCAAGCCTGAGCATAATTTTTTTCTTCTCTTTCTGTGAACTTCAGCCTATGCCTTCAAAAGCATCTCTGGTGGTTTTCTTACCTTTCCTCCTATTCGGACCTGTGCTTGAAGCTTGGCCAGTTTTTCTTGGTTCATAGTGCTACGTCTAAAGAGCAAAAACAAGTTCAACTTAACATCAAAACAGTAACAAAAAAGTCACAGTCTATTTTAAGAGTATTTTTACAATTGCAGCGGGTTTTTCAAACTTCTAGAACATCACCCAAAACAATGTGTCAAACAAACACACAAAACCGGAGCTTTAAAGCCACCCCACCTAAGCAATCCACAGTGGTCCTGCAGTGGGAAGGACCCACGTTTAGCTAAAGTGTCTGTGCCACGATGAGGCACAGACTCCACAGGACATTTCATTCTGCACCAGAACGAGGTGCTCATTTCCAGGATGCCAATTTACTGCTGGAAGTATTTAACTGAATTACAGGCTCCAACCAGACCCAAACCAGCACAAACACCACAACTGGTCTGGGAAAACACCTTATCTTTACGAAGATCCAGGGACACAGTCACCACTGAACTACCTGCGATAATTTTCATATAATGAATCTATGATACTTATGACTAATAAGAGAGATCCAAACTCTGTGAAGTTCGCGTATGGACATATTTACTACGTGAACCTCCAATTTCATCCAATACAGTGACTGGGAAGTTTGTCAGTGCTTCTCCCACGGATCTGGTGGGACCTTTAAAGGCTGAAAGTCCTGAAAACCCATAATGGGTGAAAAAAACGCCTCAAGCCTCCCAGCAAAAGGAATGCATTTCGCTGCTCTGCCCCAGAAAATCATCAGAGATCCTCGGAAATCTCCGCATGTGCTTCGTGCCGGGAACGGCCGGGGCAAGGGCGGGAGCGGGGCAGGGAGCGGCGCACGGAGGGACCCCGCGGGCGGCCGGAGAAGGGGCTCAGGGTGCAGCCCCAGGGCAGGGGGAGCGGGAGGGGAGCGCGGCTCATCCCTCAGCAGCCCGTGTACCCGCGGTCCCAGAGCCAGGGCAGCCCCCGCACAAGGGGCTCCTCGCTCGGCCTCTCCTCGGGGAACGACCCAGCACTGCCCACGGGGATAGGACCGAGCTGCCGCGGCGCCCCGCCCGCCCCAGGCCGGCAGGGACGCGGCGATACCGGGACGCAGCGACAGCAGGACACGGAGACAGCGGGACACGGCAAGAGCGGGCCCCCTCACCTGAGCGCGGCGGAGCCCCCGCTGCCAACACGCGGCGAGAACAAGATGGCGGCCGAGGAAGGAAAGAGAGGCGCACAGAGAAAGGAAGCGCCGCGCCACGTGACGGCGCCAGCCCGCCCGCAGATGGGCGGGACCGCCCACCTCATTTACATAGCAGTGGAGGGCATGGCACGCAATGGCTCCTGGGAGTTGTAGTCTCCAGTGAGCAGGAGTCGCCCGTGCTTCGGGGTAGGGAGTAGTGCCCTGCGACCCAAACTGGGACGCGGCGCTTCCAACCGTGTCACCACTCGCTCTGTCCATCTTAGCGAACCCTTTCTCAAAACCGCTTGCGGTCGGTTTTGCCATCCCGCCAGCTGGACAAACTCCGGAGGGAGCAGCGCGACCAAAAGGTTTATTTCGGAAGGAGAGAATAAACCCGGAACCACCCCCCTCCCACCGCTGCCTGCTCCGGTCGGGATAACGCTGGGGTTTGCCCAGCGGGAGTAACCAGGGCTCTGGGGCCCCGGTGCAATGACTCCTACCCCGGGGGTCCCGGCTCCCTGTGAGGAGCTGAGCTCATTCCAAGCACCCCACTCCGTTCCCACCGGCTGCCTCCCCCGGGCCGACCGTCAGGGCGGCGCACCGCCCACATCCGCCACACATCACTTCCTGGGCTTTAAAAAACAGGAAAAAAAAAAAAAAAAAAAAAAAAAAAAAAGACACACACAAAAAAAAAGTCCAGCTAAGCGGGTCCTGTCCTGTCCGGAGGTTCGGGGCCGTACCCGGGTGCCGCCGCTGCCCGCGCCGACACCATGAAGGCTCAGCCCGCGGCAGCCTCCGTCCTGTGCCTGTGCCTGGTGCTGGCGGCCTGCGCCGTCGCCGCCGCGGGAGGGCTCGGAAAGGGTCAGACAAACGCTTTCTTCGGGCTTTCCCCAACTCCTGTCCCCACTCGGGGCGGGTCCGGTCCCCTCAGCCCGCGGGGGCAGTGGGCGCAGCTTCGGGCTCTGGAGGCGCGGGGGGCTTTGCGGGGTCTCCGCCGCTCTGGTCGGGTTCTGGCTGAAGCTCCTGAGGGGAGCCCCGGGGAGCAGCCCCGCCGTGCTCCCAGTGCCTCGTACCCAGTGCCTCCGCCGGGCTCCTGGCAGGCGATGAATGGCCCTTCCCTCCGCTTCCCTTGCCCTTGGTGACCGCTCCTCACCCCGCTCCTGGCTTGCCCAGGCTCCCTGTCTAATTACCGTGTCTAATGGCCCGGTTCAGCCGGGGCTGGGCTTCAGCCCAGGTGGTGGCTTGGCCGTAGAGGTAAATCTCCTCCTCGAGGCTGCTTGTAACCAATTTGATCAATGACAGCAAAGCTGTGGTGTGGACCCCAGCCAACCATTCACCCTTTAATTCCCCAGATGACTTTCATTCAGAAGATACGCTCTGTAATGTGTTGGGCAATGCTTTAAAAAACACACCGAAGCTCACCACAAAGTGGGGTTTGTTTTAAATATAGAAAAGCTTTTGAAAAGTGTTTCCCAGCTAGAACAATAGAAAGTTTTTATTATTTTAACATTTTGGCCTTTGACTGAAATAGCTGAGGTGTCAATATTCTGGGTAAACGTGACTTGTGCTAATCCAGCTAGGTTTTGCTCTGGGATGTTGAGCTCGTACAAACGTGATCCTGTGTTGGGGGCTGCCTCAGCACTGGCTGTGTGGCTGTGAGGAGACAGGGACGAGGACAAGGCATCCCCACCCTGCTCTGAGCTCATCTGTTTGATGTGTTGCATCACTTATGCTCATATTTGCTCATATCAGCAGAGATCAGGTAACACAAACACTGTGCCACTGCCCTCACCTCCCGGATGCTGAAGGGAGGTGTCCCAAAGACTCGCCTTGTTTTAGGCTTTCTCCAGCTTCTTTGCCACAGTTGTCTGCTGGAGACAATGTCCACTTTCCCCTGTGTCTGCATTGGGCAGTCTGTGGCTCCTGATCTCTGTGTAGCTCCCAAAATCTGCTCCCCTCAGCACCTTGGACGGGTTCCTGACTAATCCAAACCCTCAGGGATGGGAGGGGGCAAACCAAGGCTCATGTTTGGCCATCCAGCACAGTAATTGTTAATTACTGGAACCGAGACCTCTGAGGAGGTGTTCCAAGAAGAGTTCCTCTTTGTACAGCTCCTGGATCTCCTTCATGTGAGCTCTCCAGGTGGCTTTTGGCCATGTGCTGTGTTGGCTACTAAAAAAACCCAACCCTGGCTTTGCAACTGTTAAACATACACTGACTCACTCTTAAGTCAATTGACATAACAAGACTTGTTATTTGGATGCCAGATAAAATATTTCCTGCATCGCTCTGTCACTGTAACACTCAGAAATCTGTATAATTGTGTTCTGTGTTCTTTCTTGCTCTTCCATGATATTATCATCAGCAGGAATACTTAGCATAATAGCTTTAGAGCAATTAATGATTATATGTTGGCCTCAAAGTTTTTAAGTTTGAGTTTAGTTCACCTTCAGTGGGATTTAAGAAGCCAAACACTGACATGTTTAATTTGTCATTCATCAGATAATAAATGTTCACAAACTGAAAAAGAACAGAGAATGATCAGAAGGCACTTCAATTTTAATATCTGTTTGGGGGATTTTAGTGTCATTTGCATACATATATAGAAATATTCATGAGCACGGTATGTTTTTGTTAATTAATTTCAATGGGATTCCTCATACGACTGTGTGGGCTGTAAGTATTTCCAGAAGTCTTTCCAGAAGTGGGGCTATAGTTGTCTTTAAAAAAAGAATATAAAATGAGTTGAAAATACTCTCAACGGCTGGGCTGTTTTCCTCTGTTAGCTGACATGTTAAATTATGCAGCATTTATAAACCCTTCTCTCTGGCAGGTTTTGGAGATCATATTCATTGGAGAACACTGGAAGATGGGAAGAAAGAGGCAGCAGCCAGGTATGTTCATTAGTTTTAAATACAGAAATGTGTCTTCAGAAGCATTCACAGTGGTTCTATTTCAGCCCTAAATTTAATCACAGAAAAGATTCTCTTTTAACAAAAATGAGGGTGGTTTAGGAGCCTCTTCAGATCCCTACAGGTTATTGGAGAGAAAATACAGAGGTTTGTTAACTTTGCTAAGGCACCACTTAGGTTTAATTACTGCAGTCTAATTAAGTGATTGAAGCCCTAGCATGTCTTTGAAACAAGAAAATAATTATTTATTACAGTAAAGAAAGATATGGTTCTCAAACACACAAATACAAGTGTAAGTGGTGCTCAATGCCCTTAAACTCAGCAGTGCTAAGAGCTTCCCTAAAATTCCTTGTGCCTGTATGGATGAGGCCTCAGCATGAGGTATTTTGTTTCCATCTGCAGCAAAAATCTGGAAGTTTCAAATTGTAGTGAAGTGACAGAACCTGGTTTGGGCTAAGTTTAAATTCTAAAAAGAGCAATGTCTCTATGAAAAACGACATCTTGACTTTCTTTTCTCATAGTTTCTTCTGCTTCTTGTTAAAATCCAAGGAGAATGGCATGCTTATAAATTCTACTTGCATTTTAACTTTATAACCCAGATCTGACAATGCTGACATGAGCAGAAATTACTCATGCCTTCCAGGTTTGCTGTTTAATTTAGCTCTGCTCTCAAACTGATCCATCTGGCAAGTTCTACACTCCAGTGCAGACATTGAATTAACCCAGATGGTACACTTCAGAAGTCTTACAAGTTTTGATAACTTGATACATTGGCATTTTTGAAAAAAAAAAAATCAGTTTTGACAGTTATAATTGTAGCAGCAGCAGAGGAAGCTTTAAAATGAGACAGAAGAGGGTGGGAGGGATGGCAAGGTCTGAGCTTTCAGGTTTAGGCAGGATTGGTGCTCCTGCTCAAAAAGACCCTGCAGCAAGGGATGGGATGGGATGGGATGGGATGGGATGGGATGGGATGGGATGGGATGGGATGGGATGGGATGGGTGGGAACCACACTCTCCTTTCATTGCTGATGCACAGATCTGCTCGCTGATTTGAGCACAGCAGCATTTCAGCGTTATTGAATTGAAGGCTTGGGAGAAACTACTAGTAGCAAAGAAAATATAAATATTAAAAGTACTTATTTTTTTGTAAGTCTGACCATAAATCAGGAGAAGTAAAATTACACAAAATTATCTGGGATGCATCAAGTGAGATGCACCAGAACCAGTGGTCTAGGAAGTTTCAAACCTTCAATTTCAATCCTGTAAACTCCACAGTGCCATGGGATGCTGGGGACTTGTCGGTTTTAAGTTCCCTGAGGGCGAGGGCGCGGTCCCTTCCTTCCAGCAGCTGCTGCGATGCGTTTTTGAGCGGGACGCCGCGCAGGGCGGTGTCGCGGTGCCGGGGCCGGGCTGGGGCGCGGCGATTCTCTCCGCCCGCGGGGAGGAGGAGCCCCGGGGGCCGTGCGGGGCCGGGCGAGCTGTGGGTGTGTGTGTGCCCGTGCCCGGCGGAAGCAGTCGCTCCACGTCCGGGTCGGGTGGCGGTGGCGGTGTCGGTGTCGGGGCGATGCCGCTGGTGGTGCTGTGCGGGCGGCCCGGCAGCGGCAAGAGCCGGCGGGCGGCCGAGCTGCGGGAGGCGCTGGGCGGCCCGGAGCGGGCGGCGCACGTCGTGGCCGAGGCGGAGGGCGGCCGGGCGGCGCTGCGGGCCGAGGTGGAGCGGCGGCTGAGCCGGCGGGACGTGGTGATCGTGGACGCGGGCAACGAGCTGCGGAGCATCCGCTACGAGCTGTACTGCGCGGCGCGGCAGGCGGGCACGGCGCGCTGCCTCCTGCACTGCGCCGGCGGCGCGGGCGGCCCCGACGAGCCGCCCTTCGAGGAGCCCGACCCGAGCTGCCGCTGGGACCGGCCGCTGTTCACGGTGCGCGGCGAGGAGCCGCTGCCGCTGGGCGCCATCCGCGCCGCGCTGTTCGAGAGCGCCCCGCCGCCGCCGCACCGCTCCACCCGCACGCAGCCGCTGCAGTCCTGCGGCTTCCTGCACCAGCTGGACCGCGTCACCCAGGACGTGCTGGCCGCCGTGCTGGCCGCGCAGAGGAGCGGGGCGCAGCCCGGAGAGACCGTCCGCGTCCCCGGCGTGGCCGAGGGGCTGGTGCTGAGCCGGCCCGTCAGCGTGGCCGAGCTGAGCCGGCTGCGGAGGCAGTTCATCAGCTACACCAAGATGCAGCCCAGCGATGAAAACCTGCCCCAGCTGGCCAGCATGTTCGTGCAATACCTGAGCCGCAGCATCCAGTGAAGTGCCACCCGTGCCACCCAGCCGTGGGGCGGTCCGGCCCCCAGGTACTCGCAGCGGGGTGAATGTGCCTTGGGGCACAGACCTGCGGAGCGCGGGTCACACCTGTCGGGGATGCTCGGATCGCTGGGCAGCAGCAGCAGCAGCCCAGGGAAGGTGGGCACCGTGTCCTGCAGCAGCCGAGCCAGCTGCATTGCTGGGGGATCTGCAGGGAAGCAGTTCCTTAGCCCTGCCTTCTCCCCACTGGCTTCTTGCAAAAAGGGAGCTACTGGTGCGTCCCCAAGCAATGAAATCTCCTGTGGAGATGCAAACCCCAGTAATCAAATAGTGTGATGTGAAAGTGTAAAAGGTGATGACTGTAGGGAAGACTTTTCTCTCCACATTGGCATGTGTGTGCCTGGAATAAGAAGATTGTTTTTCTACAGCTGCCACCAGAAAATGTCAAACTGCAGAAGAGACTTCAGGTCCAGAACTGGAACAGGCTGTATTTTTAGGATGTGACTGTTTCAAAAAAATCTGACTGACCCAAGAGAGATTTTCAGCTTTACACTGCAAAAGGGTGCTGGCTTAACAGATTTAAACTTTTCTGTTTCAGGTCTAATAATAAAATTGTGCCTTAAATGGAGTAAAGTCTTAATTTACCTGCAGGACTATTTTACTGAAAAAAACTTGGCCGTGTCTTTTGTCTTCAAGGTCATTATACACCCTTAAAACCGTCATTTTACACCCTTAAAAACACAAATTGCTTAAGAATGAGTGCTGTCATAGGAAAAATGAGCTAAAATGACAGAAATAAATATATTTATTTCTGTTTTGTGTGAAAATCATAAATTTGTACTGGCTGTGATGGGTAGCTAAGTTTCTAATAATTACAGCTTATATAAACTTCTCACTTTCTGGTGGATGCTTCATTCTTCATTGTAATAAATGGTGGCTTTTGGTTTTAATTTTACATGTAGTGCTCACTGGGATGAAATGGTGAAGTGGGGCAGGAAGAGTTATTTCAGTTACAGTGTCTGTCTGTCTGGCACACCAGCTGCTAAGGGGCTTTATGCACTGCAGAACTGAGAAATGACTACAAAATGTTTTTATATAAATAAGTGTACTTTACAAGTCAAAATAAAGAGAACAAAGCTGAGAAAACATATCAATTATCTCAAACGTCTGTGAGTTCTCACTGACTAAGACTTGGTATTTCAAGGAAGTGAGCACTTGCATTTAAAATTTGCTTTTAAAATTTCTCGTTAAAAAGTGTATGCCAGTGCTGACCACCAGACCATTGAACTCTTTCAACATGAATCACTGATCCTTGATGATAAGAACAATCTTAAATCCTGTCTTAAATCAGCCTCTCCTCAAGAAATAAGCAAAAGAATTTTGGACTCTATAGAAACAATTAAAAGAAGTCAGAGAGAGGGCACTGAGGCAGTGCAAGCTTTACTAGGGAAATGTGTATTCTTGCTCCTTACTGCAAGCAGATATAAAGTTGATGACATATCAGTTAATTGTAGATGGCAAATTTGTGTTTAAACAATTCTAAATGTTAATGGCTTCATTTCCACCCTTTCCTCATTCTAAAGTTCATTACTGAACACTGCTAAGTAGAGATTTCCTTTCATGTCTATTTACACCTAAAGAAAAACTCATACATAGTTCTGCTAGTAATTAATGTTGTTGTGTGCAAAGGTGTTAATAATTCATGTGTATGAAAAATTGACTTTATTTTTATTCCCTAATACGGTGCAGAGTTTGCAGTCAGAGAAAGCTTACAGTTTGTTTTGCTTGGCATATCCTGAAAGAAGTATCCATATAGGATGTTCTCTCCTGATTCCTTCCTCTCCTCCACCTAATTTTAGGCTGTTCTTACTGTTCTGGAAGCCATATCATTATTGTATGGAAACAATCTCTGGGTACTGTAGCTAGAACATGTAAAATGAATTATTTGGAAAGAGTGAAATCAAAAATAACTTCGGTCCTTTTGCATTGCACTTTATTTAGGGTGCAGTTCCTCACAGACCCCCTCTCCTTAGCCCTGGTACTGGACACATCTATCACAATTAGTTTCAGCATACAAATGTGTAGGAAGCCATGCAGGCAGCCAAAGGGTTTGCTGGGTTTTTGGGTTTGCTGGTTTGCTCAGTGAGACTTGGGCTGTATTGGGGAGAAATTGTCATCCACTGGGTTGCCTTAAACAGTCAGAAAAATCCATCCTGAGATCTCTCAAGCAGCTGCTGTCATTAACCATTGCCAGTAATCCAAGGTAAAAAAGCATGACCAGTTGTGTATCTGAGGAATCTAAACTCAGAAGAGAAAGTCTCCTCCTCTACACAAGCAGTTATTGGCTGGCAGCTATAGTAAATTATTTTATCACATGTTTTAAGATTGGGAAAGCTTTATGCAAGACAATCTTAGAGCACTCCATAATCTCTTTATATCTGACTAATTTCCCATTACATTTAGCCTTTGAGGAAGCCTTGACTATTAAACTGTACATGTAATAGAATTTCTTTGACAGTTTTCTTTCTTCTTTTTTTTAGTGGTTTGCCTCTTATGGTTATCATCCACAAGTCCTGGTGTGGAGCTTGCAAAGGTAAGTGCATTGAATACTAGAGCTTGCTGAAATTTCTAATGAAATTGAACAATTTCTAATTTAAATTGTCTTTGTACAGACATCATGTAGCCATGAGAAATGTGAATTTTGCATCCAAAATGTAACTAATGATATTTGTATTTCATTGAGAGTGGCATAATATGGCAGTGTCATAGCAAACAAACAAGCTGGGGATGGGATAGTTGGGTGGGAGTGGTGGTTTAGAGCAGGATTTCTGTTTCTGTGTCACTGGATCAAATAGAACCACCTCTGTGTGTTGGGCAGGCTTCAGCCCATGGCTGCCAGGCAAGAATTGCTTCAGTTACCTCCTGTTCTGAGCCTGGAAGGGTTGGACACATACATTCCATTTGCTCACTGCTTATTGAGAAGTGCCACCTCTCCAGAGGGAGGGATGAAGTGGAGATTTTGATATTGACCTGAAAATCTGAAATATTTTCCACTGCTTTTACATGCCTCTTATTTTTATTTTTTTCTTTAGCTTTGAAGCCAAAGTTTGCTGAATCCAAGGAGATCTCTGAACTTGCCCATAATTTTGTTATGGTCAACCTTGAGGTAGGCTGCCTTCTGCTCTGTATCCATGTTCTGCCTAGTAATGAAGCATTTGGAATCTGACTCAACTGGTTGCATCCTGTTTTGTGTACATCCTAAATCCTGCACTCCTAAATAGGCATTCAGGATTGATTGATAGAGCTCATTGTTATAAAAAGACTTTTTTTCAGTCTGGTTATTTTAATTGTGTTTATAATCCTGGCTCTCTGCCTTTGTCTCTTTAACAGTTTGTACCTTGTGTGATTCAGTTTCCACAAGAAAGGGATTTATGTTCATTCTCCGTACATATCGAATATTCCTGTACCAGAGTGGGATGAGTAATGCAGATTGACAGACCAGAAAAAATATTGTTTTTACAAATGATATTTATGTAGGTAAAAATAACTTTCTTCCCTTGGAGAGTGGAGGATTCTGCAGTTACTTAGCATCTCTTCAAGATGTAAATTGCCCAGGGTAGAAGGAATCTGAAGGCAGTAACTTGTTTCTGTAAAAGGCACCATGTTTTGTTTGCTGTCCTGCTAATATCTTTCCTCTCTCCTGCCTTGCTGTGGAAGGATGATGAAGAGCCAAAGGATGAAGCCTTTAGTCCTGATGGAGGTTACATTCCCAGAATCCTTTTCATGGGTAAGGCATCTACAGCTGTTGTGTCCATTCACAGCACTGGGTTCTTACTGTTTCCATCTAAATTTCCTGTTGGATTTCTTATTTCACAGACCCCAGTGGAAAGGTCCATCCAGAAATCATAAATGAGAGAGGAAACCCCAGCTACAAGTATTTCTATACCAATGCTGATCAAGGTATGTGCTGAGTCTTTGAAGTGCATTTTTAGTGAGATGAAGCTTTGGCAATGGAGAGAAATTATGTTAATTTAAAGTGTAACTGGGAGTGGTTAAATACAGTGTGAGTGATTCTCTGATACCTCAGTAACCATATTCAGAATCAAGATTCACCTTAATACCTACTAAAAGTCTCTAGGACTTAATTTTGTCTCCAGTTCTGGCATGGGAAATCATGGAAATTGCATGATCCAGCCACACCTAGTTGGGATAAGGGTGCAGGACTGTTTTTCCCTTACAGATTAATCTGTAGATCTCCATTCTGTAACTGTGTTGTTTTAAATCGCTTTCATTACCAGTTCACCTTGATGTTTTCACCCTGAGATTAATGGTTGGTATCTCTCTGTGTGATCTTTCAGTTGTCCAAGGGATGAAGGAGGCCCAGGAGAAGCTGACAGGCGATGCTTTCAAACAAAAGCACCTGGGAGATGAACTATAATGAATACACTGAATGATACCTTTTCATCACTTCAAAACTGAGAGGAAATAATTAAACAGACTAAGAATGTAGATGCACTGAAGGGACATAATTCCCCTGTCAGCAATGTTAGGTTAAAAACCCTGTTTGGAGTTCACACACACACACACACACACACACACACACAACAGTTACAGTGTTTTCTCTGCCTGGCAGTTGGCACTGTGGTGGTTCTTTACAACTGGATAATGTGCAAACACATCTCTCTGTGTGTTTGAGAAGCCACTAATATTTGGTGTTAAAAGGGAGGTGTGTAGGGAAGACAGGATTTGAGGACAATGTGATGGGAAAAACTAGAACTAGCCATCATTTTGACACTAATCAGGGTTGAATCTCTCTTTTCTCACTGGTATTATGTGATCCCATAGTTTTTACTGGGCATTCCCATCACTGGGGCATGTTCCTGGGCCAGTTGTTTTCTAGCTATCCAAAACCATGAATTCTGCCACTACACCAAGTAGAATACATTTCATGAATGTCCAAATAGCATGTGAATTATCAGCTCTGCAAATGTATTATTGTGTAAAACTGTGTGATTCATCTTTATTTGCCTTTGGGCAGAAATGTAACTTT